GCAAGAAAACAAAGGTTATGGTCGCTGGTTTGTGATGAGAATGGGTTGATGATTATGGAGTATGTTTAATGGCTTGCACGTGGATTCCTTTGCTCTGTTTTGTGTTGGCCGAAGGCAGGGGTGATATCCACTGGTTTTTGAGAGGAGGATCTAAATTTTCTCTCCCTTGTGCGTGCTGTTATTACTGTTGAGAGAGACTAGGAATTGATTTAGAAAGCAATACCTATATAAATATATGCATATATTTGTTAGTTGCTGTAAATGAGGGTTTTGGTGCAACCGAAAAGAAATGTGTATATATATGTATAGTGTTAGAATTGGAAGTGAGTTTTGATGATTTCCAATTCTGCATTTTGCTGTCCAGAGGAGTTTATTTGGATTGCCTAAAGTATTCAAACGTTTAAGTGTATAACAGGCTAGGTCTCATAGGCGCTGAATAATTATTATAGATGACTAAACCATGCTTAGAGATATTAAAATGAGGACTTAGATGCTCTTACTGAAGCTAGGAATTTTAAAAGTTGGTTAAAGGCACCTGGAAGTTGACGGTTATATATTATATAGTGTTGGCATAAAATATCAAGATGAGTGTTGCAAAATCTAAATTGGGACATATGATTTTAAATCTGGAAATATTTTCAGAACAAAGTATAAAGCTGCACAAAGTTTCTGAAAATATTTTAAGTGTTCAAATGCTGCAGAAATTTTGTATGGTCTAGATGATATATGGACTTGTATGTAGATTAATGTAATCACATATTAAGGTTTGTAATTTTGGAGGCTGGAATTAAAGAGAAACGCACCGTTATGATGCTATATAATATTTTAGAATTATATGGAATTGAAGAATCATACATACTAAGCACCTAGACATGCCTAATAGATGAGTGCATGGCATGAAGTTGGAAGCCCGTTTCTATATTCTCTCCCCTGTTCGGTCAGCCACTGTTTCAACATGAAGGAGATGAATTTATTTGAATGATTGAACTTAGAATTAAACTTGGTGGCTGTTTTGGGGATGAAAGAAATTGAGCTAGGAATTGATTTGAAATTTATTATCGAGGTTTCCAAATGGTGAATGGAAATTGTAATGGGATAGCCTGACTGTCATGGTGTTTGGAAATTATTTAAAGGCATCCATTTGGGAAATTCTCAATGGTATAGTTAATGGTTAGGTTATAGGTTAAAACTGGTAATTAATAGAAGTTATTAGAAAGATTGTTGGAGGAATGCTAGACCAAAGTTTAAGATAGTCAATGGATAATTGGAATTGAGATAAAATCAATTGGCGCGATGATATAGATATATATTTTATCTCTGGTGGGTGCAGAGTTAGAGAAGATGGATTTTAATTAATTTCACTTTATTGGGCTTGGATGATTGAGGTATGAAAGACGCCTTGTTTGTCCTTAAATGTAATAGACAAGAAGATAATATTTTGACTAGTTATTAAGTAAAGTAACTCTTTAGGTTGATAAAGAGAGAAACCCTCCACAGTGAATATATTGAAGAAGAAAAATTGTCCAAGACGACCAATTATTATGTAAGGGTAGAATTTACAGAAATTTGGAATTTAAAGAAGGTTAGTTAATTTGTAACTTATGTTGGATCAAGTATTAATCTACCCTTACTAACATAATAGGTTTTGATATCTGTTCAACCCCATCGAGAAAGCAGAAAGAAAGGAAAATAGTAAGGTTTGATTTGGAGGGAAGCAGCCCAGGTAGTAGTTTTTTCCTACCTTACACTTGTGTATGATTGCCGTATGTCTGTTTGTGCCATATTGCTTTTCTAAAATATGAGAACATGTAATCCTTAATTCCTTGCATGGATTATTTAGCCATGATCACGTGTAACTGATAGACATGGGGCAGTATTTGCCAATTATTTGCGCATTATTTATTCAGCTTGTCTATCTGTCATTGCACATAAATGCTTAATTGTATTAGCTTGCAAAGTTATGTTCCACTTTGGCTTGTTTTGCATGCTTTATGTAATCTGCATTTGTATTTGATGGAAATTATTACTACGGGGATTCTCCAGAATCTTACCCCCCCTTCCATGATATACAGCAAAGGTGCACATTCTATAAATATGTAGCAAAACATCTTGATAAATTAATATTTATTTTATTATATGTGTTATATGGGCAAGTAACTTTACTTGTTTTATGTAAATATTATTTTGTATACTTCATAAGGAGGAGAGCTTCGCTTGGGGCAAGTATTGCGGTCAACCAAAATAGTTGCTATATTTTTAATATAATATTATAAGATTGTACAGTATGAAATCATTTTAGGTGATAATAGATTAAGTTGAAAGTAGGGTTGTTTATGGATCACTCGTCAGTTATTTAAAAGATTTGAAATATTTGATCGACAGATTCCAATGGTGGAAGAAAAGGAAAAAAAATTCCTGTCTTCTTCCAGGTAGGAAACCTGGTATTATGTTTTACAGATGTTAAAATGAGCCTATTAGTATATATAAAAGTAAGGTGTTGCAATCCATGGGGGTAAATAATTAATAAACCAAGAAGCAACCATGGGGGTAAATAATTAATAAACCAATAAGCAACCACTCTTAAGTCAATATATAAGAGGGACATTCAAACCCAACTAATTTTCAAACCAGAAGAAAAGTAAAGACCCCATTTCTAATTTTCTTTCACATTCCTGCCTTGAAAGTGTTCCCCACTTCATAGCGTGAATTTTTCTGGAACCCTCCGGACTCTTCCAACCGAGCTACTATATGCTTCATGGCACCATTATCTTTTCACTTCAAGCTGATACACTTGTTCAATTGACTATACCTGCAGAATCTGATACCAAAATCGCACAAGTATGGAAAATCAAAATGGTTATGTTAGTGTGCTTTTGTTTCTCTTCGTTTGAACAACAACTGCGACCTATTCAATAAAATCCGTAATTAACATAGATCGTCCCTTCAAACTCTTGTTAATTCTTTTTATGTATGTTTTTATATACATTCAAATTTAGTTATATCTTTACTCCCACGCTCTTTCTCATTGACAGATGCTTCCTAAGTTGAAAAACCGAAATCTCTGTGGCTCCAAAACTTCTATAAAACTGAAACAGATAGTTTAGTTTGGTTCCTCTGCGGTAGGATGGTATCATAATCCCACTAGGATTCATGTTCTACAAGCGAAAGAATTCCTATGGATAAAACAAGTAGACCAAACAGTTAGCTAAATAATTTTTAAAAGTCAGAAGGCACAATTAACATTAACTTTCCTCGTTTCCATTCATTTATTATGCAGCTCTCAGGTACCTTCCCTTCAACCCATATAGCAGTGATGCAGCTATCAAGCAAAAGCAATTCCCTTAGACAATATGGTTCAAAACCTGATGGCAGAGAAGCGGAAGGAGTTTGGTGCCATGAAATATATTGGAGATAGCTTGGAAGATTCTTCAGAACTCCAGAAAATTTCACATCACGAAATATGAGTATTCTAAGATTATTTCATTTGTTATAAACCTTCAATATATCTTCAAGTTCCGAGACTATAGCCTCAACTCTAAGGAGAGCCTGAATATAAAATACATTCATTTAAAAAAGACGCAAAGTAAGAAACTTCAATTTTATTACATTACAATATTAAAGTTTTAGCCAAACAAAATATACAGTAGCAAAACTTACTGTCTCATTCTGCATATTTCTATAAATATCATTGAAAACCCACAATCTGCTCCACTTTTATGGCCTGGAAGGGAATTTATGCCAAACAATTTCTTTTCCCATTTCTTGCAACAGACTATGCATTTTCGCTTTTTGAATTACAATAATCACAAGTCATTTTTCAATTAAAAGTGGTATCTTGACGTGATTAGGGACAAAACTCTCATAATGATATGCATGACCACTTAAAATTCCTTCTACATATTTACTATCCTTCCCAAAGAAAAAGCATGCAATGTCTAAAAACGTTTCCTTAGCAATGAAGTCCAATTCAAGAAAAGTTCTTCCATGGACTTCCCTTGTCATAGAGCTAGCGACCTTTTTTATTCTACCAATGCTGTAATCCATGCTGAGGCTCTTCTATTATATAAGAATGATCCCTATAATGGAAGACCAATAGCATATTTGAGTACACTGTCTATCTGATCCTCATAATTTGTCGTAGGAAAATTAGGTGTGAATTAGTTAACAGTCTCTTATAATAAAGACAAAGGGAAGCAGTAATGTAGAGAGAAATATGGAGAGAGAAAAGAATAAGAGAGAGGAGGGGTATGAAAAACAAAAAAGACTGACAAATTATGCAACAATTTTGAGTAACAAGTTCTCAACAAATAGTACACTTGCATAGATATTCGTCTACATCACTTCTGTTTTCTTTGACAACTAATTGATTGCTAAATGGGTTCTTTGAAAAGTTCGGACAATTGGCAAACTTGGAGCAACAAGCCAAATTTAGGATTTCTAAAGATGGTAGACAAAATAACTGATTGGGAATACTAACAAGATTAGTACAGTTCCTCAAATTTAAGAATTTGAGATTTGAAACAGCAGCAATAGATGGATGAAGCTGTGATAATTTAGTGCACCTTTCAAGATCTAGCCTCTCAAGACTTGGAAATTCTTCGAAATCTGGTATTGTGGTTAAATCTTTGGAGCCACTAAGATTCAAATTTCTCAAGCAAGGGAATTCTTGTGAATAAAGACAACAATCTTCATCTTCATGCACTTCATTTGAGTGAAGTGATTCCTGAAAACCGTGCAAGAAGGAGTGCCAAAAGGTTTTCATGGAAATCTTCGAACACAAAAGCTAACACATATTTACATGCGTAAATAAAAATAATACATAATTTCTTAATACATGTTAAATAGAAATCATATATATTTTATTGGTTAACATAAATAGTTTAATTATTGCTTATAAACAAGTCTTTTCTATTTTTTCGTGATGCAAGTATATATACCTTTTCTTCATTCCATACACTTGTGATGCAGCTATCAGACAGAATCAGTTCTCTGAGATTATCTGGTTCAAAACTTGATGGCAAAGAAATGTATGGATATCGGTGCCATGAAATATATTTGAGATTTCTTGAAAGATGATCCAAGACTCCAGAAAATTTCACGTTACGAAATATGAGTAGTCTAAGATTGCTCATGAGTGACAAACCTTCAACTCTCAATGTCCTCCCATTTGAATCTTCTAATAATTCCAAGACTATAGCTTCAACTTTGCGATTAACCTGAGAATAAATATTTATACCAAAATAATGTCAAGTGATCAAGACTGCCTCAATTTAAGGTCATGATGTATAATACTAATGATTCAACCGAACAGAAAAAATGTTAGCAAACTTACTCTGTGATCGTTCATCTCCATCACTTCATAAATATTATCAAAATCCCACAATCTACTCCATTGTTCTGGACTAAAAGGAAATTTATCACGAACGATATCTCTTGCCATTTCTTGTAGCAGACTATGCATTTGTATTTTTCGATTCATAATAGTAATGAGTGATTTTTCCACTAAAAGTTCAATCTGATCGCACTCAAGAAAATCACAAGACTGCAAAATTCCTTCTACAAACTTGACCTCCTTCCCTGTGAAAAAACATGCAATGTCTAGAAAGGCTTCTGCATGGACATCATCCAGATCATCAAAGCTTTCTCTGAGTACTTTCATTAACAAAGGGTTATTTAGCATTTTGAATTGAACCAAGGCATTACTCCAATCTGAAGCTCTGATGTTAAATAAGAATGAGCCCAACATAACAATTGCCAATGGATGGCCATTGGCATATTGGAGTACACTATCTATTTTCGCCTCATAACCACTCTTTGGAAAATCACATTTGAAAGCTTTCGTACAAAATAATTGAAGAGCTTCTTCCTTCCCCAATAGTTTAACCCTATAAATATCATACTTCTCAAACATTTTAAGTACTCCTTCATCTCTACTTGTTATGATAATTCTACTCCCTCCACCAAACCACTTCGATTTTACAAACCAGATTACTGGTTCTAGATCTAGGCGAAAATGAATGCCATCGATAACCAGGAGAATATTATTCCTGAGATGTCTGATCTTCCATGCAATACTGTAAAATTCAGATGCATTGAATATGAAATGAGAAGCATTAAAATGGTGAGCAATTCTATCATAGAGAACTCTAGCAAGAGTTGTCTTCCCTACTCCGCCCATACCACAAATGCCCACAATTCTAACTTCATCTTTCACACCCAGCTCTAGAAGCTCCTCTACTTCTCTCACTTGAGATTTCATCCCTATCAAATCGGCATCAACATAGGCTAATTCACGCATTTTTCTTTTCATCTTTATTACGATGTCATCAATAACATGTTCCCCTGGCCTGAACACGGGAAAAAAGAAGACGCAAAATTAAAGCACTAAATTAATCACTTAGCCAATACATGCCGATTGATGAAGATCGCTATAATTTGCTTATCGAGACTTTGAAAGTTTTGATGAAGAAAAACTAATTACTTACTCTTGCAATACATGCCAACCAGAGAGATTAGCCACTCGATTCATTGCTAACCTCCAGCTTTGTAGCTTGCGTAAATTTGCTGCAAACCTTTGTTCATGTTTAGCAAAAGATTTCTCGAAAGAATTACTCTGGTATTGAACCTCACATGGATGGACATCATGGAAAATTGGGAAAACAGTATATCGGGCTTCGTTAATGCGTGCAGCGATCTCAGAGAGCTCCTCAAGGCACCATATAGAAGAAGCATAGTTTTTTGAGAAGACAACAATGGAAATGTTGGATTGTCGAATTGGTTTAAGGAAGTGAGGTGGGAGAAAGATGGAATCGCCTGGCTCTAGCTTCTTATCATCCCAAAAGGTGTTTAGATCGTCAGTTTCAAGAGCAGCCCAAAGCCTATCCGTGAATCTGCAAGTTTCATCATCTCCTTTGAAACTTAAATAAACATGGATCGGCCTTGATGATGATGATGATCCGCTAATGAAACTCTCCATGTGTCAATAATCTTTCAGGCTTGATAGAATGGATTCCCTGTTACTCGCTGACCTTTTGAACATCTTTTAATGGCTCTGTGAATGAAAGAGACCAATAAAATGAAAGCAAGGGAGGATTGTTATGGTGGAAATTTCCTGGAACTTGCCCTGAAAGAGATATGAACAAGACTTTCTAATTGCTACGCAAGTGTGTGGTTTCTTCAACCCACGTGCCACTCACTTATGGCCGCCAATTCCTTCTTGACCCAATTACATTTTTGTCCATACCACGTAAAAACTAAATAAAAAATCTCTTGCCCCATAAATAAAAAATTCGAATTTCGAAAGCACTACATGAATCAAATTTGTTCCTAAAGCAAAGCTACTTAATTTACAGATTTTGGGTTTTGACGGTGTGTTTTACTGATAAACTTTCCTATAGTCCGCGTATTATTGAGACTGCTGGTACAAACACGATCAAAGAAAATTGAATACTATCTCTGGTATTTGATATAGGAAAAATTACACGCAAGTTTCACAGAAGATAATTAATTTAGAAAAAATTCCTGCAAATTCCCAAATGCTTTCTAAGTTCCCAAAGACCTCTGGATAATTAATTTTAATTGTGATATTACCTACTTACCCCCATTAATTTGTGTATGAATAATTTGCCCACCTTAAATGCCTGGGACTACCTTCTTCACGTTTTCAGCTTTCCATTACAGCACAGGCAGCTTCACATTCATCGGTGTTGAGCTTTACTCACACTGTTGGTAAGCTTTGTACCCCATCGTGGACGACCGTCGCACCCCACTACCAGCGAGTCTTATGGGTTCCATCATCAACAACCTTCGCACCCCACTACCAGTGAACCTCGTGGTTTCCATCATCGACGACCTTTGCACCCCACTACCAGTGAGCCTCATGGGTTCCATCATCGACAAGCTTTGCACCCCACTGCTGGTAAGCCTGTCTCTCTTGGTATATCATATTGATATTATCTATTAGTGGCATATTTAGGTGAGGCACTTCTCAGTTTCAGAGTAGCAGTTGGTTATTATGTAAGTTGTATTATTTAAATTTTGAAGTAACGTTGGCTATTGTCAATTATTGTGTATAAGTTGTTATTCCAATGATCAAAGGTTGTCATTAACGACCCCATGACCTGTCCTATTATATAGGATGGAAGACTTGGTTAGAGGTTCAGATGCATTGTCCATGTCTCTACCCAATGTGTTTAGTGAAGACCCACTATCATTGCCACGTGGTTCAGAAATGATGCCAACCCTAATTCCAGAACTGAATTCAATAAAGTAGAAGGGTTTGCTAATTTGAGAAGGACAAATTTTTTCTAATACAATGGCCCTTAGGCAAGCACTATATAGGTACAGCATTGCTGAGAAGTTTTCATGCAAATTTGTCAGGCCCATTGCAAAGGTTGTTAACTACTTCTTTTCGGGTTGTCAAAACACCCCACTGAGGTTGTAAATAAATTGATGTAGTAAAAATCTGTTGTAATCCTATTGGGTTCAGTTAAAACTGTTAATGACTTCAAAATGCTCACAATTTTTTGGTTAAGATCATTATATGTGCTGATAATACAATCGATTTAGAAGTTGTGGTATCCCACAGAGTGAGTTATCAGGGACACTACTCAAGTTGTTAACCACTTATCTTTGGGTTGTCAACAACCCCCGTTGAGGTTGTAAATGGATGTTGCAGAGAGAATTGTGATCTACGCCTATTATGTCATCATGGTTACTATTTGTTTATCCAGTTTTATTTAGTATGCATTTGTGGACATAATCCGGGTATGGAATGAAGAATTTCCTGTCTTATCAAAACATATAAATGCCATTACAAAAAATTCATAACCAGTAAAGGATGTTAATACTCATTAATATATCTTAACATCCAACTATCATTACATGGTCAAATAAAGAAACAAAATCTAAACTTTACATTCAGTTGTCATTATACTATCAAATAAAAAAAAACTAAATATAATCTATGCTCGTCGTTTATTTCTTTCTCTTGCTTTGGGGGTTTCCTCATAGCAAAGACAACATTTGATCACTATGTGGGTTGTTCCGATAAGTTATAAGTCACCACAAGCATCCAACCTTCAAGTCATGGATTTCTTGAGGGGAGTAGAAGCATCCAGCATGCACAGCATATAGTCACAACCTACACATCAACCAACCACAACCTATATTTGTGTCATTCACAACATACACAACAACCAATGACAACCCATGCTAAATTGCATGACAACAAGAATAGCAGACAATTACAACCTATACATAGGCAAGTGATCGACAAACTAACAGAGGCCAATGACAATCTACACACAAGACAATAACAACCTTCACACCAACCAATCACAGTATACACATAAGCAGTTGACAGCATACATACCAGCAAATGACAATAAGAACAGCAGGCAATTGCAATCTATACATAAGCAAGTGACAAACTAACAAAGGCCAATGACAACCTGTATACAAGACAATAATAACCTTCACACCAACCAGTCACAACATACACATAAGCAGTTGATATCGTATGTACTAGCGAACGACAACATAGAGCAGAAAATGACAACATACAGAGCAGTAAATAACAGCATACAACGCAACCAATTACAACATATACAGAATAGTATATTCTCACTGAGAGAGTTACTTGATATATCCCTAAAAAAATACAGGAATATGATGAATGAATGCGATTTGTCCATCCTAATAACAACATAAGTTGGATGAAATGAACCAGAAACTACACTAAAATACTGCACTCACAAACTTCTAAGTTGTGATAGGTTTCCTAGTTCATTTGGAATCACTCCACTTAGGTAATTGCCCTGCAAGAATCTATATAAGAAAGTTTCAAATTAGTCTCGAGAGGAATCAGTTAGAACCAATACAAAAACCTAATATTTCCTATTAGCAACTTGATTTCTAAGAAGTCAAGTTCTATAGATAATATCAATATGACATACCGAGAGAGAGGGGCTCACCAGTGGTAGGGTGTGAAGGTCGTCGATGATGGAACCCACAAGGCTCCTTGGTAGTGGGGTCGAAGGTCATCAATGATGGGGTACGAAGCTCGCCAATGGTGTGAGTAAAGCTTGCCGCCGATGGATGTAAAGCTGCCTATGCTGTAATGGAAAGCTGGAAACACGGAGAAGGTGGCCCCGAGGGTTCAAGGCAGGCAAATTATTCACACTCAAATTAATGGGAGTAAGTAGGTAATATCACAATTGAAATTAATTATCCAAACGTTCCTGGGAACTTAGGCAGCATTTGGGGATTTTCAAAGACTTTTTTTTAAATTAATTGTTTTCTGTGGGACCTGTATATAATTTTTTCTTTAATATAAGTCTCAATGGACTAATTTACAACCATTTAAAAATTAAATAAATTACTTTAATGTATTTTATTTATTGTCTTTTTTCAAACTAAATTTGTTCACCTTATATACTGATATATAATCTAGTGATAAATAATTACACATAAGTATTTTAGAGATATCATGTAACATATGTTATAATTAAGTAATTTTTTAACTTCTTTAATTTTTTCAAATTAGTTAATTGTGTCTTATATTAATGACAAGAAATAGTAATAAATTAGCATAGTAATTCCACTAAGCTCATAGGTTCTGAGAGATCACAGATTTTTTAGAAGACAACTCCACCAAGGTCCCATGATTCATAATTGCTTTCAGAAGGTGAAATGCAAAGCGATTCCCCTGTTTCGTTCTTCTCCTCATCCCCGTGTTGCCACATTTAAGTTGAGGTTTCGATAATGATATATTCATTGTGTTATATAAATCAGTGTAAAAAAGGAATGAAACTAGAAAAATGCATGTTTTCGGGAAGGAAAATAGTGGCATTGGGTGAATCGGAGCAAAACAGAGGTGAGCAGAGTGTTGTGGGTTCGACGGAATAATAACTAACATGCTAAGTCTGTAAGAAACGCAGGGAATTCGGTTCTATCAATAAAAGATACCCTTCATGTACTAAATATGAAATCTATTTAACTAAGATTAGCATAAAAAAATTATTTAATTATAAAAATTATGATATATTTTTCTAGAACATTATAATTATTCTTCTTAATATCATCCCTCTCTTTCTTAATTGATTATAACTAAAAGAGTATCGATATGAGTAATTTTAAAAAAATAGATGAATATAAAAAATGAGTCTTATACATATCATCAAGATTAAATTAATAATTAGGTTTTATATTAAGAACCGGAGAAGTACATAAGCATAAGAAACAACCAAAATGTTGCATGATCACAAAGGCTTATTGGTAGGAATTACTCTGATATAGTATTTCATTCATTTGGCAGTAAAAGAAATTTTTCGGTAGTTAAAATTTTTATTAGCCTAAAACTACAAACAGTAAACTTCTTATTTAATGGGAGCTTACATCAAAAGGTTAGGTTCATATTCGTAGCCGTCCCTACCTCCAAATGGAGCTTATATTAATATTGAATATTGAATATTTCAAGTTCTGATATAAGACCAATAAAAGTCAAACAAAAAAAGTGGTTTGTGTCAATCTCACAAAGAGTCATGCGTCCATTCATTCATTTGGTAGAAAGGCTTGCTGATGGTTCTAGTATAAAGTGGAAGCACGATCGGAGTGGCAATTTCTCAGTAAAATCAGCATACAATCTTCTCTCCCAAGCTCATATAGTAAGTGATTCTTC